TTTATGGGTTATTGTATTTACATGTGCTTGTGATGGTGGTCCCCAATGTATAGTATAATAATTCATTTTGTCTTAAAGGCTTTAAATTTATTAGTTGTTATATTGCATATGGTTGTATTGTCATAAAGGCTAATTTGGTGGTCCGGGTTGTCTTTATGTGCTTTGTGATTTAGGGTATTGGACCATGTTCTTTCCCTTTGTCTAGGGATATTACTTCACTATCTTTTATTAGTTTCTTTGAATGTTGCTTTACTATTTTTTATTAGTTTCTTTTCAGATTTATTTTATAATATTGATTAGTTATGTTCTTGTTTAGTTTATTTTCTGGTTCACCTGCTTATTTTTTAATATGTCAATTGATTGCAAATTGCTTATGATTAATTTGGACTTGATATTTAACTATGGCGAGGAATGGAGTAGAGAGCCACAAGTCATATACACTAAGAAGATGTTCCACACCTTGAAAGGTTATGACTCTGACCATCTATCCTTTATAGATATTATTAATGAGTTTTGCACTAAGTTATTATTTGGTGGCATTCAACAAGTTAATGTATCTGCTCCTTCTGGTAGATACTATGAAATTAATGGGATAGTGGTATTAGAAAGCTGTTGGGAATGGTTTGTAGTGATTACACTGTTGTTGATATATTTGATGTAGAGGATTGTGAGTTGGAAATGAATGCACCTGATATTTTATATTATGGTGAGGATGAACCTGATGATGTTGCACTTGATCATGAGACTGCACCTAAATGTAGATCAACTGATGGTGAGGGTGATGATGAACCTGACTCTGATTCTTCAGAGTATGATTCTGATGAATTAGACATTATCTCAACTCAGAGGAGTATGGGTATAACTGATCAGCTGCTGGATTACAAAGACCTAGATAAAAATATGAGGTTTAAGGATATTTCTGAAGCTAGGAAGTGTCTGAAACTGTATGCTATGGCAAATAAGAAAGAGATACTGCTTAAGAAAAATAATACAAAAAGGCTTAGATATGAGTGTCAGGTAGGTTGCCATATGTTTACCTAATTTATAAGGATGGGGACTGTCCAGGGGTTAGAACCAGACACTAAATTCAAATCATAATTGTTTCATTGCTTATGATAATATTAATGTTGACTACTTCACCATTGCACATTATTTTAAGAGGAGGTTGCAAGACAATCCAAAATATAAAGTGAAAGAGATGAGGGATGATTTGAGAGCTGCATTTGAGCTTAATTCAAGCCATGGTAAATGTAAGAGAGCAAAAAAACTAATTTTGAATAAGCTACAAGGAAGCTTTAAAGATGAATAAAACAAGCTAGAGGCCTATGCTAATGAGTTGAAGATTAGTAATTCTGGAAGTGATATAATAATCAATATGTCAAAGATGCTCTTACTGAAGGTAAGAAGAGGTTCTTAAGAATGTATATTTGTTTTCATGCTTTGAAAATGGGTTTTAAGGAAGGTATGATACCTTTCATTAGACTGGATGAGACATTTCTGAAGGGAAAATTTAAGGGTCAGCTTTTGGTTGTTGTTGGTCTTGACTCAATGAATCATTTCTATCCTATAGCTTGGGCTATAGTGGACAAAGAAACAAAGAGAACTTGGGACTGGTTTTTTAAAATGCTAAAGATGTCACTTGATCTCAACATGGGAGAAGGATACACTATCATTTCAGACATGCAAAAGGTAGTGTTTATGTCCATATTCTTTTATAGTTCTATATGTTTCTTTAAACTAATATTGTGTTTCTTATGATTTGTAGTGTTTGATTGAGGCAATAAAAATTGTTTTGCCTGAAGCTAATCATAGGTATTAAGTTAGACACATTGAGGCTAATTGGTGTAAAAGATGAAGATGTGGAGAAATAAAAAGGTTTATGTGGTGGAGTGCATGATGCACATATAAGGAGGATTTTGATGACCAATTGAAGAAGATAGGGGACATGGATGAAAATACAGTGAAGAATTTGCTGCATTACCTTGCCCAGTCATGGTGTAGAGCATTCTTTGATGTGTATGCAAGAATATGTTTGTGGATAACAATTTCACAGAATCATTTAATGCATGGATCTTGGATACAAGGTATAAACCTATAATTAAGATTCTAAAGGACATTAGGGTGAAGGTGAAGGTGATGGAAATGCTGAGAGAACATGAGGATAAAGTGAAGTCATGGACTGCTGACTTTAGTCTTTATGCCATGAAGCTTTATGAAGGTTATTTGAGGATTGCACATAAATGTGTGGTTCACTTTAATGGTGACTGGGGCTATGAAATATCTGAAGGGCTTGATAAACACATAGTAAACATGGTTTTGAAGCAATGCAGCTGTAAGTCTTGGCAACTATCTGGAATACCATGTCCTCATGCCATTAGGGCATTTGAGTACAAAAGTCTTGATCCTTTGCAGGGAATACATTGGTGGTATAGTAAAGAGACAACATTAAAGACTTATTCACACAAGATACTGCCTGTTAGGGAAGAAAAATTCTGGAAGGTAGTCCCTGCAGATGCAATGGAACCACCACAGATAATGAAGTTAGCTGGCAGACCTAAGGTGAAGAAAACTAGGGAAAAGGATGAAGCAATTAAGAGACAAAGAGAATGGTCTATGTTAAGGAAAGGAAGGGTTATGAACTGCAGCAACTATTGAGAGTCAAACCATAACACATGAGGGTGTAAGAAGGTAACTATTACTATCATTAGTCTTTAACAATATCTACTTTAATTGACAATATCTCATTTCTTAATGACAACCATCTAAGGGAACTCTACCATAAATAGGAAGACAACTGAAAATTTTGAAGATATTGATGAAAAGATATCATTGTCAGGGCTGAACAATCTCAAGCTAGTGAAGGCTCCAGCAATCCTTTTGTGTTCATTCCTACACCAAACTGTTGGTTCCACATGTTCTATACCATACTTCACAGATGAGGAAGACCCTTCTTTAAGGCCAAAAGTTATATCAGAGATGGGGACAAGGCTTTAAATGAGATAGCAACCAAATATCACATCTAGAACAAGAGTCATCAGCTTAAGAGGAGATTCAACTAGTGTGAGCCCTCAATTTTGTCATATTCACCGAGAGGACTCACATGGAGGGGAAAGAAGCTCTAACTACTAACCAGCTGGAGTTGCACAAGCAGAAAAAATTTAAAAGCTTAAGGCAAGAAAGGGAAAGTGAAATACTATGCTGGACAATATATTTATGAAGTAATAGTATTTTGTCTAAACAAATTGGTTGGTGCTGTAATTTGTGACTTCTTACAATATATTTAACTCTAGTTTTTAATTCTTTGTTAGTACTGATAGTTGGATGCCATAGTATGACCTAGGTGGTAACTTATTTTTGGGTTATAATATGGCATCCGTGTGTCAATTTAACTGTAACTTGACAGTTAACTTTTGTTAGTAATGTTAATGGTAATTTAGAATATTTTAGTTTGTTTTCTTATTGCAACTTATATAATTAGTAGTGTAGTTATTTGAATAAACACAAGTTTATTTATGTAGTTTGAATAGCAGTTAACATGTGTGACTCATTTTTATATCGGAACAAGTTCATGAACATCAAATCATATTAACCAACAAAAACATGTGAAAAACAAAGAGCAATCAACATATACAATCCGGAAAGTAAAAATCTAATTAGCCAACAGAAAAATATACACTACACTGCTTCCACTTAAGTTCACCATACATGATAACTTAAAAAAATACAAACTAGATTTGACCAACTAGTTATCATTTATATTCATCATACAAGATGCAATTAAGCTAGCAAATAGGACCCAAGATATCATAGTAAAGATCTTCATCTTCAAGACTTTGGCTTTCAAATTCCTTGAATTGGTCATTTCCCAGCGATTTGCAGCCTCCATTTCTTCATTTTTTTCCCTTCAATATGTCCCTTTTCCATATAAATAGCATCCACTGAAGAGTCCAAAATTCTTGTTTTGGTGCATTCAACCTCATTTATGGCCTCTAAGGCTTTCAATTTTTTCTTCAATTTCAGCCTTTCAATTTTGACAGCCTCCAATTGTGCTTTTAACTTACAAATAATTATCATAGCTCTTTCCGGTAACACTTTATCAACCCATTCAAAATAACTACACGAAATTTTCTGAAAAACAAAATCATACAACATGTTATAAGTGAAATTTTAGAAAATAATGAAAACCAAAAATTATCATACACTAACTATATATAGAATATAAGATATTAACCTCAGGTTTAAGACATTTGTAGAATTTCCTACCAGCGTTCCAAGGAGTATAAGCCATGAGGTAGAGTGCAGTCAATCCGCATTTGCATGTCCTACTCGACACATATTCTTGAGACGAAGAACTCCCTTCTGACATTGTAACTCCCTATTTGTGAAAATTATACACAAAATAAGAAAGAAAATAGAGATGATGACAGAATACAGAGGAAAATCGCTTCAGATGAGGAAAAATCATAGCTTTGAAGAGGAAATAAATGATTACATCCTTCTAGGGGGAATGTGGGGTTAACGAGTCGGGGCTGAACGAGTATTGAATCCAAATGAATAGATGGTTAGGCCGATTAAGATAGCGCCATGTGTCCATCTAAAGGATACGTTAGTGAGGGAGCAAGAATATTAAAATGGATGACGCTAGGGAGTAATAGTGAAAGAAAATATGACGGACGGTACTAATGACTAATTATCGATAGCGAGGCATATCGCCCTTTTCCGTTACTTGAAAACTAAAAATAAAAAAGCAAGTAGGCCAATACGTAAGTTAGCATTGGGAAACGCGGATTCCCAGAAATAAATTGGGGGCAAAAACGAAAAAGAAAGACTTTGGGGAAGACTAGATCCCTTTTGCAGAAACCGATTAACAGTAGTTTCTAGAGGATCAGCATTCAGTAATGGAGAGACTTCGATGCCAGAGGATCGGTTGCAACGCCACCTTCACTGAGGATGATAACCCTGAAAACTCCTGCACTTATCACGAATCCGTTCGTCTCCCCCTTTATTTAATCTCTCTGATTCAATTCCTTGTTTTTTAAATTTAATTCATGTATTCGCTTCAGTTTTAATCTCTTTAAACTTCATTATAAGTCACTTGATAATGGAATTATTTAGTATTGAAATGTTCTATAATGTTTTAAAAGTGAACTTATCATTAGCAAGTATATCAATCTGATTGGTGCAGTCTTGTACTTTTCGGTAGCTTAGAAAGTACTTTTTTTGAGAAATATAATGAGTTTTCAACTATACTATCCTTTTTAGTGTAGTTAACTAACTGTATGAGGGGATAAACAATAAATCAGGCAATAATGTCGATCTTCCAGTTTTCCCCATATAAAAAAACCTATTTATAGCATCAATATCCAATTAGGATAAAGGAAGTGACAAAACTAGTTAAATCTACTGAATGCATGGTAAAATTTACCTAGGTCTACCTTTTAGGGATCGAAATCGATTTCTTTTTCTTTGAATCTGTTGTAATGTGCAAAGGGACTGGAGCTTCTTTACACTCGCAGAAACCAGGAAAGAAACATTTGCAGCATCTTAGTGTGGAATTTGTTGTAAGAAATTTGCTGATTTTTTTTATTCTTAAAGCAGATTTAACTCGGGATAAAGAAAGGTCACTAGGTAAAAACTGAGGAGTGCTTACTAATAGCTCAAATTCTAGCTTTTTTCTTATGTCCTTGTGAGCCCCGCGTAGCATGTAGGTGCACAATTGCATGTACATGTACTATCCTATTGCACATACATCACCTTAAGAAAACGTGTTTACATTATCAAGAATCAGCAGGATGTCGTTTTGCTTACTGATAAAAAAAGATAGTCAACAGGATGTCTGGTGAAATTACTGCAAATAGATGCAAGAATATGATTATCATTTGGAATGTAGAGACTATAGCAGGAACCTACTATGAGACAATATAAATTTTGCAAGAATCTTAATTTTGTATTTCCGTGGAATTGAACGTCATCTCTTATGAATTATGCATTACCTTCTAAACATCTGTTGATAAGTTTGTTCTTCTTTTGCACGGACCGCATTGAACGTGAATGCACTTGCTGGGTCCTTTGGCATCAGGGTGTAAGTGAAATCAATTTTCCGATTTCTTATCTTGCTTTGCAGATACCGTAGCTTCTAAAACATCCAGCTAATCATCTAAGTTCATATTTGCAGCCTTTATTTCATGATGGAATGAAGAAGTGGAGTTGTTGCAAGAAAAGCAGTCATGATTTCAGTTTATTTCTCGAAATTCCTGGGTGGGTACCTTATGTTTTTCCTTATTTTACTTCAGACTTTCGTGCCAAATAGTAGTACCCTTTCTGTTTGCTAGAATCTGTTGAAACTGGTATATTATAAAGCTTTAGACCCAGGCATTGGTTTAATTAGTTAAGGCAGAATCTGATTGCATTTTATTTTCGATTCATGTATGTCATAATCTTCCTCTCAGTAGTTATATTACTTTGACTTCATTATTCTTTTTAACCGCCCAGCTGGAAACGCTTCAGACACTTCTACTCTATGATTAGTTGTTAATTTTTAAATTAAACCTTGCATCTCTTTGTTGTTTTCCGGTATGGGGAAGGAGGGAAGGGGTGGGGTGGTGGTGGGGTGTTATAGTGTAAGATGCAGGGAGCTTTTGCCCTGCATTATCAATTTGAACAGTTTGAGGAGGTATTATGCGGGGTCATTTATTAATCGTAGACAAACCCTTTTCTTTTCCTAATTTTTGTTGCCTCTACTATTCTTGTTAAGTGATCAAGAAACTCATTTCCGTCCGTCACAGATTATTGGTTTCTTTTATCCCCTTATTCTTACACACAATGAGAAAAGAACATACTTATTCTTTTGGGATAGGTAATAGTGAACAACATACTTCTTTTATCAATCCTCCTCATCTACTTATCTCTAGTGTAAGAAGAATTACGTAACACTTTCATAATTGGCTTGATTTGTTTGACTGGCATGAAATGGAACCTTCCTGAGATTGCTAAATATCGAGCTAAAACACATAATTTCTTCTGTGTCTGCCAGTAACATCAAAGTTTTTTTTGTGCAGTTGTAAGACAGGAAAGCACACAACAGAAAAACCAGTGATAGCAAATCCAGCTGCTAACCGGAATAGAGCAATTCCTGCACCAACTTCTACAACCAATGTATCACCGAAAGAAGCTTGTCCTAGATGCCGCCAGGGATTCTTTTGTTCTGATCACGGTAGTCTTCCATCTTCTTACTTCATCTAGCGATATACTTTGGACGACTAGGACAGTTTTAGTTGAGTTTAGCAAGCTGAAAGTGCTGAGTAGGCTGTTAATCTTATCAATACTGAGCTCAAGCTTCTGGGTTCTTGCTTCCTAGTAGGTTAACGAGGAAAAAGTTTGTTTTCATCCTCAAACTGCTTTTTGTTCTACTCCCAATATAGGGACTCTCTTTTGCTTTTTGCCCGGACTCTGATCAGTGTTCTTGCTATTGGTTTTTAAGGTTCACAACCCAGAGAAGTAATTCCAAAAGCATCAAATACAGTAACATCTGTACCTTCTGAGAGCAATACAGATGTACAGCAATGCCATCCTGCTCCGGTGAAGAAGAAAGTTGATATAAACGAACCCCAAATTTGTAAAAATAAGGGCTGTGGTAAGACCTTTACAGAAAAGGAAAATCATGACGCTGCTTGCAGTTACCATCCTGGCCCCGCTATCTTCCATGATCGGATGAGAGGAGTAAGTTGATAAAGAAACACTCATTTTGTTTATTTTCTTTCGAGGGTGCCAAGCATTGCTTTTGTGATATTTCGCTGCGTTTGTACAATATCTCCCTACTTGTCTTTAGTGGTTAATGTTCAACCATCGTAAAACTCATGTTTTCTGGTTGTCCTTTGAATTTGCAGTGGAAATGCTGTGATATTCATGTCAAAGAATTTGATGAGTTCATGAGCATATCGCCATGCACCACAGGATGGCACAATGCCAACCCAGCGTCCTAACAGGCTGACAGATGAGCCCTGTTTGTTTCACCATTTATTTATCAAATTAAGGTTGCTAGCATGGCATTGGTACAATTTTACTCAGTCCTTCTGTAAGGTGCCAAAGGACAATTGAGAATGGACAATCTATGATGTCTGAAGTTTTGACAGAGTTTGGAGTAAAGCTCGCTCAATTAATGCACAGTTGAGAGTAAAGAATGTTGGGATGCGCTTAAGCCTTTGTCATGCATGGTTGGTGTCATTGTTCTTGTGTTTTGTTGTGAGATTGTCACCTTATAACCAAAAGGTTGAACAGGTTTACCTGCTCCTATTGCACCTTTATCTTATTGGTTAACCCTTTATGAACTTCTAAGCAATTCTATAAAATTGCAATATTACAGTTTAACTAGATGTTGAAACACTAATCTTGTGAATGTTTTTAGTTTGCTCAAAAACAGAGAAAATGAGGGTTTGAAGGATTTAAACTTTCAAGTACTGAAACCTCTCATGTGGAATATCTCTAACCCAAGAATATGACTAGTTATATTTCTTAGTTGAATGGTTGGCCAAACTAATAAGTTTTGCGCCGCTTATTTGTATAATTCTAGCTTTTTAGAATATGTGATTTTCCAACTATGGTATGCTATCTATATTGCCACTTTAATCAAGCTAAAAGCTACTAAGTTAACCATATTGAGAAAAGACCCACCTCGGCTGGACGCCAAACTAGAAGTTAAGCGGGCATAATTGAAATACTAAAGTGAATTATGAATATATATTTTCAACTAATAACTATGTTAAATATATATTTATATATGCAAATTACAAAGGTTATACATATTGTCGATTTGGCAAAGTTTTGATTCATGAAGAGCGTTGGGGCAAACCTGGAAATATTGCTTTCATTGTATCCACTTTGAAATACTTAACTTCATCCGGGATTAGTAATGTCGGGACTAGTGATGCTGGGATTATTTCTTATCGGTTGTTTGGTTTGGTGTATTAAAAATAACATGCATTACATAGTTTTTTTTTATATCTATTTACAAAAATACCCTTTATATTCTTTACAAAGGATTTGGAAAAGGCTTTGAAATAACAGTTCTATCATCATACATGCTTATCCGTGTTAAACAAATTATCGTATTTGTAACGCCATGATTTGCTATGTGTAAGAATAATACTTAATAGGGTATATAACTAAAAACTTCATAGGTTGAAAAACACTATCAAACAAGGGATTAATAATACCAAAGTTAATATATGGAATATTATTTTTCCTAATACATGCTACCAAATGATCAGGATCTTGGTATACTGATTAAAAAATTATTTAATAACATTAACATAAGAGATACTTGACTAAATTACCTTTATCTCAACTCAAATTAGTAACTAATGGTTTGGTAGTTACGACAAATAGTTTGGACCAACTTTTTTGGCTAAAGTACAGATGAAACCGACTAGAGGGAGTAATTTGCACAGTCACGAATATAGGGCCTTATGTCACGTCCTTTTAGTCTTTAACTAAGCACATGAGTTACACTTAATAACTCGCTCACGATCTTTCATAATTTGCTCACATTTTTGCTATGCCAAGTCAGCTTTACTACACTAAAGATCGTTAAGGCAATGTTAGAACATAGGAGCATTGCCAAAGGAAGCTTTTGTTACACCCCATATTTTCGTACGTGAAAGTACGTCGTAAGTCAATTGATATAAGCTCAGAAATGAGATCATCTTTGAAAGTACATAAAGTAAGTTAATCATGTTAACTTGGAGGTTACAAATATTTAAGATCATGAACTGCAAGTACCAATAGGGTTGGAAGGCTTAGAAGCTAAACGAATTGAAGAAAATAGGTTTCATCGAAAGTCAACAAGTTGGGAATGTTATATCATGTACTTTTGGGGTGAGACTAGGGTGCTCAAAATGATAAGGAGGTTATATTATGAGTTATTTTATTCTTATGATAGTCGTGTGTTATGTTTTGAAGTCAAGCGAGTTGTGGAATAAAAGTTGGCTAAGATCATCACAAGTTACATTCATAAATATGCTGAATATTAGGTCAAATGTAGCTGAGCATTTCTCCCAGTGTACTTGGAACTACGGGATGATCTATCTACAAAATTGAAGATCTACGAGTCTAGTTTCTAACGCATTAAACCATTTATCAATACAATATCAGTGTAGAGATATATTCACGTTTTTGCGAGACTGCGCTGGAAGCCCCTATGGGACCCACTTGGTCGGTGGCCGACCTTCACTTGTTTTTATCTCGTTTTTGGGATGAGATTTGCTCATTTTTTGACCTCCTTCCATCCTCACACTCTCCAAACTCTCCCAAACAATTCCCCCAAGGCTCCAAACAAATTCCAAAAAAATACACCATAATCCAACATCAAAGTTAGCCAAAGGTGAAGAATAACCCCTCTATGGTATTGTGATGTGAATAAGGATGATGGTGAGCTAATTTAAGCTTAGGGTTCAAATATTATCTACTGCCTAAGATATGTTTAACATCCTTTTGATGGTGTTTAAGGTTAATTACATGTTGGTTATGGTGTTGGAGTGAAAGATTACAAGATAGTACTTGAAAGGGGAAGAGATGTTGTTATCTTTTGTTGGGTTTTTTATGGCTATATATATATATATATATATATATATATATATATATGTTGTTATGGCTGAAAAATCAGTAAAATAACTTAATTATGATATGTTTTCTTTTTTTTTTATGCATGTCTATATGTTTATCAAGTGAATTGGTGAAAGAAACATATGAAACTTTAGATTGGAAGTGAAGATTAGCTTAAGTCACTTCTATGGTGTGGTACTGCCATTGAGGGATGCTGTAAGCTAAATATAACTTGGATTTCGACTTGAAGCTACTGTAGGAGGTATGTGTATTGTGTTATTGCATGTGCCTAAGGTCATCATTGATGAGTGACTTTGTTATCATGTTAATGATACTGTTAAGTTAAAGTAAGAAGTCTATAAGGGTGATATGGGTTATACGGATTCCAATAGGAGCTTACCGCTCGTCATGAAGTAGTGGTGACTTGTTGTTGTTATACGGTGTCTTGTTATTGATATTTATATGTTGCTGTATTTCTCTAGTTGTTGTTGTTGGTATATGGTATTGGAGGAAGCCCTTGTTACTGGGGAGATGCTGCCGAATTTACGTCAACGAGCTAATAGCTTGAGTAACGAACTTAGCCTTTACTCAGCACTGATTTTGAATCTCCTTACGCTATGGTAGATTGAGTTGAGTTGTTTGAAGAGTTGCTCGGAAGGTATTAAGAAGTAAACGGGGTTAAGGTATGTTAAGGCTAAATATTTTCTTCATTTTGGCATGATCTCGTAACTATATGTGTTTGATAACGAGACATAAAGAGAAGTCTGAATATATGTACATTATCCTAGTCTCATAAGTTATCATATTCTCCCTTATCGAGACTTTATATTCAGTTAAGTATTGTCTTCTTCTAGTCAAGAGAGCACAGAGTCTATATATATACAATATTATAATATTTTTACCACCATCGAGCTATAATCGGTGGGCATGCCCCTATTGCGCAGTATTACAGTATTTTTACCACCATCGAGCTATAATCGGTGGGCAGGCCCCTATTGGGCAACCTCTGATCAGATGGTAAGTTATATACCGAGCCTACTGTGGCCGAGCGCCTATTAGCGAGCCCAGAATGGCCGAGATACAGAGACTAGTATGGCCGAGTGCCTATGAGCGAACCTACTATGGCAGAGCAGTTATACGTACCGAGCCTTATAGAGCCGAACAACTATTTTATTTACTATATCGAGAAAGTTGAGTCAATATCAGCAGGTAAGCATATCTTTAGATTATCTTTGACTCCCAGTTACTTTTAGTTATTATATTATCAGTTCAGTCTCAGCTTTCAGTTATTCTATTGTCTTACATACTCGGTACATTATTTTGTATTGATGCCCCTTATGCCGGGGACGCTGCATTTCATGCCTGCAGGTCCTGATAGACATTTGGATAGACCTTCCCAGCAGACAGAGTCAAACATCAGCTTGGTTTGTAAGCTCCACTCCCTCGGAGTTACCAGGTCTAGACCTTGGAGTCCATTTTTTATACAAGTTTGATGGGTAGGTAGAGGCCCTGTCCCGACCATAATATAATCATCTCCAGAGGCTTGTAGACGAGTCCTGTATATTTTGTATATCCGTAAATGTTCATGGCGGCTTCGTCGGCCTGCACAGTCATATATATCAGCCTTTTGGTATGCTTATCCCTCAGATGAGAGAGACATTATTTTCAGATGACTCAAAATATGGCCTCATTGGCCTAAGTTGAGGGTTACCCCTCCAGATTTCACAGTTATAGAGTGGTATGCTCGGACCGAGTATGGCACCGGGTGTCGGCCATGCCTCTTCAGGTTTAGGGTGTGACAGCTTTTGTATTACAGAGAACTTCATTGCTTTGCTTGATGAATTACAAATGAATAGCCCCCTTTATATACTAGTCTCCTAGGGGTTAGTATGTAAATATTAATTGTTACATAAGTCCTTAATATTTACAAGATAAGGGCTTTATCTAGAATTATCTACAAGCCTAGAAGATTCCAAGGACTTTTTTAGCAAATCCATAGGGATCTAGGGTCTTCCAAAGGAAATGTCCATACTTATCTAGAATCTTCTCACAGATACTAGCCTTCCTCTAATGTAAGCCTCCACATGGCATTAATATATGCCAAATGGTGCTTATGTGGCATGATAACATGGCAGGTCATCACATTCTCCCCCACTTAATGTTGCGACGACCGCGACGCAATATTGCTGCATAAACTTTTGGTTCTTATCTTTGAATTGCCATAAGTCTTCATATCGTTCCCATGTGGCCTCCTCCGGTGATCTCCCCTTCTAATGGTCGAGGAACATAGCAGTGGCTTTTTGACCTTGTTTTTGCCTGGCCTGGTAATCCATGATAGCCTCAATCTCCCGATCATGCAAGGCGGTGATAGTAATAGGTGCTCAACTTGATTGGCCCCTACTCAGATTATACTTGTCTTCATGATATGGCTTAAGCATGCTGGCATGGAAGTCAAGGTAGATCTTAAGATATGATGACATGTCAAGCTTGTATGAGATCTTGCCTACCTTGGCGACGATCTTAAATGGCCCCCCATACTTGCGAATCATATTCTGATGCATGCTGAGTAGTGCTTTGAATTGTCTTGGTTTAAACTTTACCATGAACATATCCCCAACTCTATAGTCCGTGGGACGCCACTTACCATCCGCAAACTTCATCTTCTTAGTTGCCTTATCCAAGTAGGACTTAGCAGTGTCAAGCTGCTCCTCCCATCCTTTGGCCATATGATAAGCCCCCAAACTTTTTCCCTCGAATACGACTGGTAATGAATATGGGCTTTATGGTTGTTGGACTGTGGCTAGCTCAAATGGTGTCCGCCCCATGGACTCACTCCACTACAAGTTA